TACTGATCCATACATTTTTCAAAAAGTTATAGCATAATAAAGTTAAAAATGTAAAATACAAAATCGAAAATTTTCACACAAAAAAAGCATTCGGTAGCCATTTTCACCCTGAAGACAAAATAAAGTCCGAAATTTTTTTTTTACATAATAAATTAGATTAAATTAGCTTTAATTTAAGATATATATAAAAGTGTCAGACTTTCCGGAACACTTTCAAAATTTAAGTTGAAAAAGTCAATTTTTTGTGAAAAAGTTGTCATTTTGAATCCCCCCCTGTAGGCAGGTAAAAAGTCAGATTTATAAAAAAAATATACCAAATGATAGGTAAAGACATCATGCATCTATAAAAAAAAAATTATATTGATCCATACATCTTTCAAAAAGTTATAGCATTATAAAGTTAAAAATATAAAAATGAATTTTTTTACAAAAATCGAATTTTTTTTTATAAACTTTGATGTCTGTTTTCACCATGAAGATAAAATAAAGTCCGAAATTTTTTTTTACCATTATAAAGTATATTACATTAGCTTTAATTTAAGATATATATAAAAGTGTCAGACCTTCCGGAACACTTTCAAAAGTTACGTTGAAAAAGTTCTACTTTCTATATGCATTTTTATGTTTTGAATCCCCCCTGTATTTAGGGAAATGGTCCGATTTAAAAAAACAGTATGTCGAATGAAAGATCTATATAAATACTACTTCTCATAAAAAAATTGTAATGATTCATACATTTTTCAAAAAGTTATAGCATAATAAAGTTAAAAATGGAAAATACAAAATCGAAAATTTTCACACAAAAATAGCATTCGGTAGCCATTTTCACCATGAAGATAAGATAAAGTCCGAAATTTTTTTTTTTCATGATAAAGCATATTACATTAGCTTTAATTTAAGATATATATAAAAGTGTCAGACCTTCCGGAACATTTTCAAAATTTAAGTTAAAAAAATTAATTTTTTGTGAAAAAGTTGTCATTTTAAATCCCCCCTTGTGGGCAGGTTAAGGGTTAAATTTATGAAAAAAATATACCAAATGAAAGGTAATGATATTATGCATCTATATAAAAAAGAATTATATTGATATGTTCATTTTTGAAAAAGTTATGGCACTTTTAAGTAAAAAAAATTGAAAAAATTTCGAAAATTAGCGATTTTTAAATTTGTAATTTTTTCGGAGGTTTCCCCCATTTTTTGGGAACGAGGGAATTTTTTTCAATTTTTGAGGGTAGTGTCTTCGACTAGATAC